AGGGCCGCCTGGGCAACTAGTGCCCAACACTTTTGCCTTCAATGCATAGCCGTGAATGATTGTGTAGCCCTTAAGTTTCTTTAGATATCCTCTTATTTTACTAAGACAGCAGAAATAGCCAGGATCTCCACACACAGGAGGGACCAAAGAAGCTGACTGGTGGAATTTGCAACTGAACAACAAGATACTCTCAAGATCTCTGAGATGTATTCAACTATCAGAAGATATCTGCTTACTCTAAGATATTGACATTTTCCAGTCCGATCCGCTATACATTAGTGCGGGTGCATCTGTTAGAGATTCTCAGGGATAGGGGTTCTTTTGTAAGTTTTCGCTTTAGAAAGCTATGTCTGATGTGCTGAGGCTATTTTTTTTTTTATTTCTCCAGAGAATTATATCTCAAATTATCACCAAAGCAATTGGTCATCCTCATGACATAGCAGCCACCTGAGAGCTCAACGATGTACCGAAGCAGGTGGCGATGCTTGTATGGGCCCGAGCCATTATATGAACCCACCTCAGAAAAAGCTCCCCGGGCTGGAGTACTATTTCCGGATTCTCGAGTTCTTGCTATGTGGTGATGATTTCCCAAAAGATAGACACAATAACCTACTCCATGGTGAGAACAGCTAAAAGTTCTCTGCGTCATCAGCTGGCAGTTCATTCAAATAGCCCCTTATTTGACGATTCCTCGACCCGTGTTTTCCCAACAACGAACGACAGCCCGGATGTTGAGGAAGATCTTGGATACCCAGCAACACCTGAGACCATCAAATCATTGCAAGGTGATGAAAAAGCTGCATCACTGTATGGGATTCTGGATAAGGAAGTTATGGTTGCCTCGCGCAGCCTGGCTCGGAGCTCAAAAGCGAATGCAGCATCGTATGATAAAATTTCGACGTTTCCCAAGTGAGAATCTCCTCCATCTTGCCCGCCAGATTTTGAACATGGGGTAACGCATATACATGCAATCCTGCTTGATCTACAAGATAAGCGATATGAAAGCTCTCGGCTTGAGTCAGGCTCCCGTCGATTCCCTATCAATCGAACATGAAACCATCCAAATTGAAACGGACATCCGACGTGCGGATTTCAGCAGCCAGCTAATGAAGAGTATTAGATACGACTTCGAAAATCTATGGCCTGAGAAAGGCGTTGTTGGGCATAAAAACTATTGCGGAGCCAAATTATCGTTCAAACAACAAAAGTAAGCGCTCACCGTACAGCATTGCGCGGCTCTAGCCTTTTGATATGACTAAATTTTCCAAAGCCCAAAGTTAACAATATGTTTTTTACTAGAGCCTCGATCCGAGCGCTCTGAGGGAAATACAACCTAACCTAACCTTGATAGATAACCTTGACTTGGAGTAGCGCTTCCATTGTGCGCTCGCTACTCACTTGCTTTCTGATACACCCTGAGATGTTTTCTACAGGACCAATTTTAAATTTTCGAATTTATTCTTCAAATATATTACTCTGCATCGAGCGACATTACCCTCATTCGTCCATTTGTTCGGCCCGAATCACACCAATCACAATATTTGCTCGAACGCAAGGGACCATATTTAGTTAGGACTGGGTTTCTGAATGGCTTGAGCTTTCAGCGATAGGAAAGAGCCATCTGCCTGAAAACCATGTTCACATCACTACCCAAGCCGAAGCTCTAGGGACTTTCGACTCCTCTGATGAGCAAAATGAATTGAATCTTTCCATGTACTGATGTGCTGTGAGAAAGGGCGACAGCTTTCTAATTGATGGCTGGCTACATGCCCTTTTATGTCAACAAGAATCGCTTGATCTGCTGAGCCGGCTTCTATCTGCCTGCTTTGCAACAGTCTCTTGTTCTTCAGAAGGACTTGTTTTACGGAAGCATCAGTCCAAATATCAATTCATCTCTCTGGTTCTATTCATTTTTGCCCCCGTGCAAAAAATGTATTTATTATACGTTCATGAATAAGGCCCCTTCCGATTCAACAGTCACAGGGGTCAAGGTTGAAGGTGGACGTGACTACCAAATCAAATATGCCGCCGAATTAGTGAAGAGCATTTGGTGTTTAGATGCAGTCACCTACTCTCATATCTGCTCCTTCGCCTACATTTCTTTGGGAGTTATCAGGCAATGAACTCGGGCTTCAATTGTGACGAAGGTACTGATCTGATGATTCTGATCCGGAGACTTGTGTGAACTAGCCTCATCATGAAGCAAGTTTATGAATCCCATGTCTTCTTTTGAAAGTCTCTTTTATCCTCAGTCTAACAAATAACCTTTCCTAGCCGTTTCAATAAAGGCATCGCTCCGCTACTTGCAGTGCTATTTCATCAGTTTCGGAGGAAACCACTGAATCAAAGCATTGTACGGCTCGTGGTTTTTTCGCAAAGGAGTGCCATATCTTCATACCTGGAATCAAAAAGATCCCAACAATACTTGAGGAAGTCATTCTGCAATGATCGCCACTGTTCGGGGGCAAGTGAAGAGGATTAAACTCTCTCAGTTGAATATGGTCTACAACTCTTTACAGAAAACAAATCTCTATCATTTTCAGTAACCGCCATGTCATTTGGTTTTCAGCTGACTGGAATGCTTGTGAAATGTGTATGTGTGGCGAGTTCCACTGTATGCCTGAAAATGTGTTTCCCAAGAGGCTGTGCAGCACGGAGTCTTTATCTTCTTACATATGGATTCCGTAAGTGTGAACTTTTTGTACTTCATCTTTTTATGAGAATGGGATTCATCTCACACATTCCAACACATGCATAATTCCAGGGGAAATTTTTCAAATTGTTGGGGATTTAGATCGGTCCATCCCCTCCACTCCCAGGATAGTGCTGGTGGTTGATCGAGCTCTTTTGCCCCACTGGTCTGACACAAGTTTTGTTACATATATATATCAGCCGTGCATTCGCCAGGAAAGAAAATCACTGAACAAAATGAAAGCACTAAGACATGAACCAGGCAGTTGACAGCCATCATTGTTGACAGGCAAAAAGACAGGGGATCAGGATTATTCCACGTCAGAGCCACCACCAAACACTATATAGGGGGGAAAAGAAAGAAAGAAAATACAGGTTTTCCACGCCGCAGTTGACGAGCGAAAAACAAGAATCCAGATTTGGCATTTCTGATGCCAGGATGTAACTGGAGACTGACTTCATGTGAGAAAGAAAGGGCCGAACCCAGTCCGCAGCGCCACTAACCCCAACCCCCGCGACTGTCTCGAACTTTGAACAAGGATCCGCTTCTAGTTTTGGGGAGAATTTCCGAGTGATAAATGTAGTCGATAGCAAGAGCAATAAATAGGAATAACTAGCTAGCACACATGCACAGTATTATCCCGTGGATGTTATTTTCTCCAAGGTGGGGTGCGACACCTGAGGGCATGGCATTGTCGGGCCAACATTTTCCGGAAAAGATATTTATTGTTGGTAGTACATACATAGTAGCGATGGAGAGGACAACGGAGGAAAAATCACATAGGAATATAAGGTGGCTGAGCCTATTGTTGCTGTTGTTATTACTACATGAATGGTGGGCTGGGTTATATATATACAGTAAATGTATATTTAACTAAGGGTTACAGTGCTACTCGGGAATAAACAACCCCCCCCTATGACCTTTAGTTAGACACGGGCTTTAAAAAGAGAGGGATATATTTTCTCAAAGAGCCATCTCTTCCTGTGCTAGCCAGCTACCTACATCCGATGTTGTTTATGAAACAGTCATCATTCACAAATAGAAGCAACTGAAAAACAGGAAAGAGGCACAACGGCGCGGAAAGATATCTCTGGCCTAGCTATTTTTAAGAGCAGTGTACACCGCCACGAGCACATCCATCTGTCATTTGTTTCCCTGATTTTAATGCTCTCTCTCTCTCTCTCTCTCTCTCTCTCTCTCTCTCTCTCCTTGAGGGATCCATTGATTGGGCTTCATTATTGCTGTTTGTCAAAGACACTGCAAATCCTTGGCTGATGCTTTATCAGGATAAGCAACCCCACCAATAATATGGGCTGTGCGTACTTAGGAGAACTTTGCATTCTGACGCCGACCTTGGGACCCGATGATGTAAAAGCCTTCTTGATCGCCCACCTGGTTGGCAGTGGCACCTGCGGCACGCAGAACATCCCATCTCAACAACAAACTCGTGCCTGCAGCAAAGAGCACGTCCGCCAACCAATGTTGTACGCAGTATAGCCAGGTACTTCCCTTCTGTGCAATCATCAATCATCCCAATGACGTCCACCAACCAAACCAACTTCCCCCCAACTCAATTCGCGCCTTCTGCCAATGAGAACAATTTCCCTTTCTCCTGGCCCAACCAACGATCTGAACTGAATTTCCCGCGGAGGGGAAGCGCGCCCGCCCTAATGTAGGTACAGCACAACTTCGCAGCAAGTGGTCGTCGTCATCGGGTACAAACCAGGGCGAGGAGGGGAGACCACTTTGGCTGCGTCCACATCTTTCTTCAACGTACAAGGGTGTTGGCGTGTGGCGTGTGGCGTGTGGCGTGTAGCTCCACCGGATTTTCTTTTCTTTTTCTCCCTCCTCTCTCTCTCTTTCTTTCTTTCTTTCTTTGTTTTCCCAGAGGCTGCGGGAAGAGGCTTCGTCAGGCAACCCATCGTCACCGTCATTGTCGTTGTCGGTCGGTTACTGGTTTCGGCTGTATGCCAAAAGGGTAAAACGTCCTCCCTCGTAAGGCATGAGTTGGTCCTCTCTTCCGTCTGCGCTGAGTTGTTTGCCTGTTGTTTGCGGCCAACTGGCAACTTACATCTGATCCATCTGATCATCATCGCCCATCCTGCAAGCCAGGACCCCAAAAAAAAAAAAAAAAAAAAAAAAAAAAAAAAAAAAAGAGAGAGAGAGAGAGAGAGCGCAGCTTATTCCAATTCGCTGCTGATATAAAATTTTTGCATGTTTCGGAGCATTTCGACCCGAAAGTTCGCCTCCGTATCAATCAAGGCCACAGTGTGGGTTGCCGTGCTTCCTAGTGGTTAGCGCTGAGTACTACGGTAGTCGGCGGATGGATGAGATGGCTGTGGCAAATTCGAAAATCTCAGGAGGCAAAGACATTCCTCCCTCCATCCCATCATCCCGATGATAAATGCAAGGTTTCGGACTGGGGAAACTCTAAATGAGAGACGTCTCAAAAATGAGAAAAAGGGTCAAGTCAGCAAGAGGTGGCCTGCAGTGGGGTCACTCCGTCTCTGAAGAGATCTGCATGACAGTCAAGCTGGCGAAGATGTGTGAATTCTCGAGGTGGTTCTTCAGTTGTTCAACGACAGAAGTTGTCCCGCCCATTCATTACAGATCTGTACATCTGTACATCGCAGTTAGTTTGAAACGTTAGTCGGCTTTTTTGTGAATCTTGGCCTTAGGCGGGGCGGAAGATATTGCTCAAAGCGGTCTTGAAACTCCGTGTAACTGTCCACAAATTGTCAGCTACACTTGTCACAGGCTGTAAAGGGAAGTATTATTAGTAATATAATCTGTACATACAATGCATTTTAGAGTTCAGAATGGTTTGAGCTTGGGCCCACTCTTTTTTAAAGCAACGCTTCGTACGCACGCGTTTCGTACGTAAGTACGTAATCTATCGTTCAAACCAAATACGATAAAATACAGCATGATATCTCACAACTGATGACTTATATACAACTGTATAGCATTAGTAGATTGTTTATAACTTCTTCTTGTTAAATAAATGTTCATTTTTAGCTTACTTTGAACAATAGTTAGTAGTAGTTACAACCCAAAAATGGCATGATATATTACAACGAATTTGGTATATATCTTAGCAAAACTTTGCATTTAGAAATACATACATGTAAAATATCTTATCAGATTAAATCTTAAAAAGGTCCCATATCGTGCTGTATTCTATCATATTATCTTCAAAACAGGCAGAGTCCGTGACAAGCCAGATCAGATCAGAAACCCCAGCTTTTCCCGCTATAACGATGGAATGAAACTCCTTTTTTGGTCGCTACAAAAAGATGTTGCTGCTCCTTTAGGATTTTTCTTTTCTCCCACTCTAACTAAAATCCACTTCCTTTCCTCTCATATTGTAAAATTCAAATCGCAAGTTCGAGAACGCGTTCAAACAAACAACAAACTGTTCAAACGCGCATTACTTACTAATCTGTACCTTGTTGTTGGCTAACTATTGGGAATGGGTGTGTTTTTGTGGGACGTCTCAGTCGTTGTGAGGCAAATATGTGCGGTGCGCTAGTCCGTGATAGGCAGCCTAGGGCCAACAGTTTTAGATGGGCCCCGAAACACACGCCGAACAGTGGTTCGAGTGGAACATTATGGAGAAAAAGGGAGGAAAACTATTTTTGGAGGAGGTCTGGCTCTGGATCCGTTGATTGAATTACGAATCCACAACAACCCCCACCCCCCTTCCCTATTGCGTTTTCCTTTGGCCTTCCATCTTCTATTTCTTTGTCCCATTCCGACTTTGCGTGGGCCCTCACAGTTGTTTCCATTTGCATTCGAGAAAAAACGGGTGATGAAGAAGTAAAGAACGAGCGTACTCCGTAGTTAGTAATTAAAGCAATGGGAACGGGAACGGGAACGGGAACCTGTGACGACGGATTGGTTGATTAATATTATTATCATGCCTCCTTTCACCCCTGGCGATTAAATTACCTTTTTCTCCTCTGATTGCCGTCGGGCTGCGGATGTACGCTGTAAGCTTGGGGAGGGAGAGATGGGGATCGTGAGACTTGATTCCCTTGTTCATGCAGGAAGAAATTTGCAGAATTCGTTCGCAAGTGCAGGATGCATAAAGCAAGCTTTTTTTTTTTTTTCTTGGAGATACCTACGTGTTTATCGTTGAAGAGTTTATTTTTTATTTTTTTATTTTTTTATTTTTATTTTTATTTTTATTTTATTTTATTTTATTTTATTTTATTTTTTTTTAGTTTCTGGCAAAGCACGTATGCAGAAAAAAAAAAAAAAAAAGCTTACGATGTAGGATCCAGAATCATCCGCATTATTGTTGTTTTGTGAGAAATATGTTCAAATAATAGCGGGGTTTTTTCCCTCTCTTCTTTTTTTCTTCTCTTTTCAGTTCTTTTTGATTCGATCCAATAGACTTGGCGATTTATCTGCCCGTCCCCCCCCCCCCCCCCTTTTGCTTTCCTTGATCGGATGGAATAGTTCGCGCACGGGCTGTTCGATTTACGGATAGTTATTTATTTATTTATTGGCCTAGCCTCTGCTATTATTGAAATGTGACCATCGATGTGCACAACAGATCTTGCAAGTATTTTAAATTAGTTAACTAACTGTTCTTATGTTGTCCGATGTGTCAGCCTTCTTGAAGAAGTGACGGGTATATAAATATCCCTCTCCTAGTGTCAATACAAATAGAATTATCATGGTTGCTGATGTGGTTTGTTACATATATGTATATATATATATAGAAGATAGAGACAGAGATATATATATATCCTGGTAATAAGCAATACCTTAATGTTCCGAAATACCACAACACAGAGTACCTGTGCAATGGGTCTTTCCAGGGTGAATCCAGAACCGATCCACCAGGGCTGCTCGGGGTGTTATTGGCCGACGTGACGATCCCGCTGCGCCGTGAGTCGTGGGTGGACCAGCTCGTCAGGGACAAGCCCTGGAGGCTGGAGGATTGGACGACAGGAAAGGGAGACTGAACCACGTGACCTCAGCCAATCTCATTGATTTGCAAACTACTCCGTAGTATTCCTTATTTAGTTACCCAAGGGGGGCAAAAATAAACAGCAACCTTCGCACTTCCAACTGGTATTGAATGACGCGGCAAAATACAAGAAAATCTGCTTTCTGCTGTGGTATACTTATCGCTGCACAGGGGCAGATATTGAAGCAGAAGCCTTAACAAAAAGGCATATATAAAAAGCATAAGCATAACCTTGAATTCGAGTTGTTACCTGGGTGTTGTGCTGCCCGTCAAATCTAGTGGTACGGTGAAAGTCAATTAGGCCAAAGAAGCGGGGGATGTTTATCAGCTGGTCTCCAGGTCCCAGGGTATGGAATTGGTAACTTTGAAAGTCAAACAAATATGGAGTTTGAGACTTTGCCCTGAAAGGCACAGGGTAAACATACGACGGACCGGGGAAGGCCACTGATTGCAACTGGCGGCTGTACGCTGTACTGTGTAGTGAAGATTTTGCAGTAGCCATACAGCTAAGAGGGTCGGTAATGGATGGTTTATTTGGATGGTACCTCTTGGCCTGGACAGTATATAGCGTACAGTGTAAGTCCTAATACAGCAGCGGAACAGGGGAGATAACCGCAGAACCTGGTTGGGCTGTTCCCTGGCCGGTACCTGGTATGCCAGACGCCTGTTTGGGACCGGTGGCTGGGCAACTGTGGACTGTGTGTGGACTCTGTGCGTGGATATGCATCCGGCGACCACCGACCGACCACACACAGGCCAAAACCCTTGCTCGGCCGTTGGCTGTCTCTTGTTTCGTCCTTGGTGTCTCTGCTCCCTGCCCTTTTCCCTTCCCGCGTCTCACTGTCACGGCCAACTTTTTGCTCACCCGTCCGCCTACTCTGCCCACTCTCCTTTGCCCGCTCCTTGCCCTTTTCCCTCCTTCTGCTGGCTGCTCCCTTTTGCGCTTTTCTTTTTTTTCTTCTTCTTCCCTTTTTTTTGTTTTTTTGTTTTTTTGTTTTTTTTTTTTTTTTTTTTTGTTTTTGCTCGTACGCCGTACTTCCAACACTCGTTTTTCCTGTCCTTCTCCTCCTCCCCTCCAGTTCCTTTGCCCTCGCACTCGTTACAAAGGTCAAAGCACAGCTGGGAGGACGAGGGAGTAGAAGAATAGTCATCCAGGTCCTTCGTCCAGCCAGGTACCACGCTTGGTAGCAAATAGGCAGTTGGCTGTGTACCCGTGTGTTGTGTCTGGCGTCGTTGTCCGTCGAGATCTCTCCATTTTCCTGCTGCTGTTTCTCCTCTCGTTTCGGCACTATTGGCTGAGTAACCGCAGCACTCGGCCCCTTCGCTCGTCGCTCGTTTCACAACAACAGGAACAGGAGTACAATTTCTTTTTCTTCTTCTCGCCTCGCCTCTCGTCGCCTTTCTCCTTCACCTTCTTCCTATCTCTCCCGCTTCCTCTTCTGCTTCCTCCTCTGCTTCCTCCCTTTTCCCCTTTCCTCTTTCCCCCTTGAGTCCGCGATCCGCTCTTCCCACTCCCACTCTCTGTCTCTCAATTCCCGTCTCCCTTGGTCGGACACGGTGGAGAGGCTCTCCCGAGGTCGAGTTTGGCGGCCTAGAAGAGCCGTCATTGTCGTCATTGTCGTCCTCGTCCTCTTGCTCCCTTTGTTGGTGTGCGTGTAGACCACCATCCCAACCAACCTGCTCGCTCGCTTTTTACCCTCCCAACACCAGCTGGAGGCTGCTTCGACCGCCGATAATCAACTCCATCTTCGGTCCCCACGTTGATCGAGCAAAGAAAATTTACGACTATTCTCTAATTGTCTTTGTTTTGGGGTTGCCAACCTACCTTCGTTTGTTTGCATATATACTCGTGTGTGCTTGCTCGTGGCCCCGTCGACAATCGACCGAATATTTACGCAGCGACTGTTTTCCAAGCAATAATAGACCTCCCTTTGTTTATTCTTTTTTTTTTTTTTTTTTTTTTTTTTTTTTTTTTTTTTTTTTTTTTTAATCCCGTTCATCGACCGGATTCCCCCTTTTCCATATATTTCAAAGTTAATTAATGGTTGCGATATAGTGTAAGTCGAGTCGTTCTTTCCTCTCCTCCAGGGGGAATTGGTGGTGGTGTTGTTTGGGAGTCGTGATTACTACTTCTGGATGGAGACATCTCTGTTATAATAAGAATAGTTGCTGACATGATGTCCCATGGATATTTCCGACGCTGCAGCTGAGACACATTCATCATTATACGTCGAATCGATCATGTCGGCCCCACAGCAAGGTGGGCCTCCCCATGGGTATGGTGATGGCTATGGTCAATACCCCCAAGGCGATTCCCACTACCAGGACGGGTACTACGACCAGAATGATTATTCACAACATGATGGGTACTATGACAACAACCAGGGATAGTGAGTCTCCTTTCCTTTGCCAATGACATCGTTCCGGAACAATTGCTGACATTAGGTAAAACTTCTATTATCCTTCGTTAATAGCTACGGGGACAACCAATATCCGCAACAGGATGGTTATTACGATAACCAGCAGGGTTATGACGATGAGTACTACAACGATCAGTACTACGATCAGGGCACTGCGGGCTACAACAATGGACCGCAGTCGGGACGTCGCAGGGGCCATGATTCTGAAGAAGATTCGGAAACCTTCAGTGACTTCACTATGAAATCCGAGACTGCCCGTGCTGCGGATATGGACTACTATGGTCGTGGTGACGAGCAGTACAACAGCTACAGCGAAAGTCATATGGGCGGCCGTGGATACCGTCCTCCTTCCTCACAAATCTCCTACGGTGCAAACAGGTCCTCTGGTGCCTCTACCCCCGTCTATGGACCCGACTACGGTAACGCTCTCCCTGTCGGCCAACGCTCCCGGGAACCATACCCCGCCTGGACTTCTGATGCGCAAATCCCCCTCTCCAAGGAGGAGATCGAGGACATCTTCTTGGACCTGGTCAATAAATTCGGCTTTCAACGCGATAGCATGCGGAACATGTACGACCATTTCATGACCTTGCTTGATTCCAGGGCGTCCCGCTTGACTCCCAACCAGGCTCTTCTATCGCTTCATGCAGACTACATTGGGGGCGATAATGCGAACTATCGCCGTTGGTATTTTGCTGCTCATCTCGATTTGGATGATGCCGTGGGATTTGCCAACATGAATTTAGGCAAGGCAAATCGTAAAACTAGAAAAGCCCGCAAAGCAGCCAAGAAAGCCGCAGCCAATGATCCAAAGAATGAAGAACAAGCTCTGGCGGATCTAGAAGGGGACAACAGCTTAGAGGCTGCAGAGTATCGCTGGAAAACTCGCATGAATCGCATGTCCCAGCATGAGCGCGCCCGTCAAATCGCATTATATCTATTGTGCTGGGGTGAAGCCAACCAAGTCCGATTCATGCCCGAAGCCCTCTGCTTCATTTTCAAATGTGCTGACGACTACTACCACTCGCCTGAATGCCAAAATCGTGTTGAGCCTGTTGAGGAATTCACTTACCTCAACAATATCATCACCCCGCTGTACCAGTACTGCCGCGACCAAGGATATGAAATTTTTGATGGCAAGTACGTCCGGCGGGAAAAGGATCACAACAAGATCATCGGTTACGATGATATCAACCAGCTCTTCTGGTACCCTGAAGGAATCGAGCGGATTGTGATGAACGACAAATCCCGCATCGTGGACATCCCGCCCGCTGATCGATACCAGAAACTCAAAGAGGTCAACTGGAAAAAGGTGTTTTTCAAGACCTACAAGGAAACCCGATCCTGGTTCCATATGATGGTGAACTTCAACCGTATTTGGGTCATCCACGTCGGTTCCTTCTGGTTTTACACCGCCTTCAACTCCCCGACTCTCTACACTAGGGACTACAGACAGCGAGAAAACAATCCACCCACTGCTGCTGCGAGGTGGACCGCTACCGGCTTGGGTGGTGCCGTGGCCACCTTCATCATGATATTTGCAACAATTTGCGAATGGTGCTACGTTCCTCGCGCTTGGGCTGGTGCGCAGCACTTGACCAAACGGCTTCTCTTCCTCATTGGAATTTTCTGCATCAACATCGGTCCTGCAGTTTTCGTTTTTGGGGTTAATCAAGACCATCCGGCTGCCCACGCTCTGGGAATCGTGTCCTTCTTTGTCAATCTGCTAACATTCTTCTTCTTCGCCATTATGCCACTGGGGGGGCTTTTTGGAAGCTATCTTAGAAAGAACTCTCGCCAATACGTCGCTAGCCAAACCTTCACAGCCAGCTACCCCAGGCTTCGGGGAAACGATATGTGGATGTCATATGGCCTCTGGACTTGTGTCTTCGGTGCTAAACTTGCCGAGTCTTATTTTTTCTTGACTCTCTCTTTCCGTGACCCGATCCGGATTTTGTCGCAGATGAAGATTCACCAGTGCGCGGGTGATAAAATTTTTGGTCCCTCTGCCGATATGCTCTGCAAGCAGCAGCCAAGGATTCTACTGGGCCTCATGTTCTTCACGGATCTCAGTTTGTTCTTCCTTGATACCTATCTATGGTATATTATTCTGAACGCTGTCTTTTCGGTCGCCCGCTCATTCTATCTCGGTGTATCTATCTGGACTCCTTGGAGAAACATTTTCTCCCGCTTACCGAAGCGAATTTACTCCAAGGTCCTTGCGACTACCGACATGGAAATTAAATACAAGCCAAAGGTCCTTATTTCACAGGTTTGGAACGCAATTGTTATCTCGATGTACCGAGAACATTTGCTGGCGATCGATCATGTTCAAAAGCTTCTCTACCACCAGGTCCCCTCGGAACAAGAAGGAAAACGGACACTGCGAGCTCCTACATTCTTTGTATCGCAAGAAGACCATTCCTTCAAGACGGAATTCTTCCCCACTCAGAGTGAGGCTGAACGCCGTATCTCCTTCTTTGCCCAGTCCCTTTCAACACCGATTCCTGAGCCGGTTCCAGTTGACAACATGCCTACATTCACCGTCCTTATTCCTCACTACAGCGAAAAGATACTCCTGTCTCTGCGTGAAATCATTCGTGAAGATGAGCCCTACTCCCGTGTGACGCTCCTTGAGTACCTGAAGCAACTGCACCCGCATGAATGGGATTGCTTTGTCAAAGACACGAAAATCTTGGCTGATGAAACTTCTCAATTTAACGGCGACGAGAAAAGTGAAAAGGACGCGGCCAAAACTAAAATCGATGACCTGCCATTCTATTGCATTGGCTTCAAATCAGCCGCACCCGAGTACACTCTTCGGACTCGTATTTGGGCTTCGCTTCGTTCTCAAACCTTGTACCGTACCATTTCTGGCTTCATGAACTATAGCCGCGCCATAAAGCTGCTGTACCGTGTGGAAAACCCCGAGGTCGTTCAAATGTTTGGTGGCAATTCAGAGAAGCTCGAACGCGAATTGGAAAGGATGGCTCGTCGCAAGTTCAGAATCGTGGTTTCTATGCAGCGGTTCGCGAAATTCAACAAGGAAGAACGAGAAAATACGGAGTTCTTGCTCAGAGCTTACCCAGATCTTCAAATTGCCTACTTGGACGAGGAACCACCTGCTAACGAGGGTGAGGAGCCCAGATTGTATTCTGCCCTGATCGATGGCCATTCCGAGATCATGGAGAATGGACTACGCCGCCCCAAGTTTCGAATTCAGCTCTCCGGTAATCCGATTCTTGGTGATGGAAAATCCGATAATCAGAACCATGCGATAATTTTCTACCGTGGCGAATATATCCAGCTCATTGACGCTAACCAGGATAACTATCTGGAAGAATGTCTGAAGATCCGCAGTGTTCTGGCCGAATTTGAAGAGATGAATCCTGAGAATGTTTCGCCATATGTCCCCGGAGTCCCTCCCCCGAAAACCACACCGGTTGCAATCCTTGGTGCCCGTGAATACATCTTTTCGGAGAACATTGGTATCCTTGGTGACGTTGCTGCAGGGAAGGAACAGACTTTCGGTACGCTCTTTGCTCGAACACTGGCTCAAATTGGTGGCAAGCTTCACTACGGTCATCCTGATTTCCTCAACGGCATATTTATGACTACACGAGGTGGCGTTTCCAAAGCACAAAAGGGCCTCCATCTGAATGAGGATATCTATGCTGGTATGAATGCACTTCTCCGTGGTGGCCGCATTAAACATTGCGAATACTATCAGTGCGGAAAGGGTCGTGATCTTGGCTTTGGCTCAGTTCTCAACTTCACCACTAAGATCGGTACTGGTATGGGAGAGCAGATGCTGTCTCGAGAGTATTACTATTTGGGTACCCAACTACCTCTTGATCGCTTCTTGTCGTTTTACTACGCACATCCTGGCTTCCATATCAACAATCTCTTTATTATGCTTTCCGTGCAGATGTTCATGATTTGCATGATTAATCTTGGCTCCCTCCGCAACCAAACCATTCCCTGTATCGTGAAAAAGGGAGTTCCAATCACCGATGCCCTTTTGCCTACCGGATGCGCTGATACCGATCCGATCACGGACTGGGTTAACCGTTGTATTGCTTCCATTTGCATCGTGTTCTTGCTCTCTTTCTTCCCGCTGGTGGTTCAAGAACTTACGGAGAGAGGAGCCTGGCGTGCGGTTACCCGTCTCGCCAAGCACTTTGGATCGCTATCTCCTTTCTTCGAAGTGTTCGTCTGCCAGATCTACGCAAACTCGTTGCATAACAATTTGTCATTCGGAGGTGCTAGATATATCGGTACCGGTCGTGGCTTTGCGACTGCTCGTATTCCGTTCGGTGTACTCTACTCTCGTTTCGCTGGCCCATCCATTTACTTTGGCGCTAGGTCGTTGATGATGCTGCTGTTTGCAACGCTCACTGTTTGGTCTGCGTGGTTTCTCTGGTTCTGGGCTTCAATTCTTGCCCTTTGCATTTCACCATTTTTGTTTAATCCTCATCAGTTCGCCTGGAACGACTTCTTCATCGATTACCGTGACTACCTGCGATGGCTCTCTCGTGGAAATTCTCGTTCCCATGCCTCTTCATGGATTGCCTTCTGCCGACTTTCTCGTACTCGGATAACTGGTTATAAACGCAAAGTCCTTGGGTCTCCTTCAGAGAAACTGTCTGGCGATGCTCCACGAGCACAGCTTACCAATATTTTCTTCAGCGAAATTATTGGGCCTCTTGTCCTTGTGGTCGTTACCCTCATTCCGTATCTTTTCATCAATGCTCAGACTGGAGTCGATGACGCAAAGCCTACTAGTTCTCTAATCCGACTCGCCATTGTAGCCTTTGCACCCATTGCCATCAATGCCGGTTGCCTTGCTGTTCTTTTCGCAATGGCTTGCTGTATGGGTCCCGTATTGAGCATGTGCTGCAAGAAGTTTGGCTCTGTGCTAGCAGCTATCGCCCACGGCGTCGCTGTTGTTATGCTCCTGGCCTTCTTTGAAGTTATGTTCTTCCTGGAAGGATGGGTGTTCGCCAAAGCACTTATCGGAATGGTTGCGGTCGTCGCCATCCAGAGATTCGTGTACAAATTGATCATCTCCCTTGCCCTGACCCGAGAATTCCGCCATGACACCTCGAACGTCGCGTGGTGGACTGGTAAGTGGTACAGCATGGGTTGGCACTCAATGTCTCAACCAGGACGTGAGTTCCTTTGCAAGATCACGGAACTTGGAATGTTCGCCGCGGATTTCATCCTTGGCCACGTGCTTTTGTTCTTCATGCTGCCACCACTCTGTATCCCGTATGTCGACAAGGGCCACTCTGTAATGCTCTTCTGGCTTCGCCCAAGGTATGTTTCCTGTATCAAAGAAAATTCAAGAATAAAAGAAAAGAAAAAGAAAACTAATCATGAACCTGTAGTCGCCAAATCCGCCCTCCAATCTATTCACTGAAGCAATCCAAGCTACGGAAGAGAAGAGTCATCCGCTTTGCCATCCTCTACTTTGTCATGCTCGTTATTTTCCTTGCTCTTATCATCGGACCTGTGGTTGCCGGTCCCCACATAGGAACATTTTCGCTCCCAGGCTTCATAGAAAACATGAACTTACTTCAACCAACCGGCCAAGACAATAACGATACCACCTCGATCCCAACTGGGGGACCTAAGAACGAACGGCCTGCAAATAATGTCCGGATGGCTCGGTTATTTTAATGAAGTCTTTTAAGGAAGTCCATGGGAGATAAAATGGATGCCAGCAAAATGAACTGGCACGAGCATATTTTTGAGGCGTTTTTTTATTCATAAATTTCTCTCACTTTGATATTACAAAGTCCTCAGAAGATGTCCCGAATGTATTGTACAGTACACCAGAAATTTACATGGGCTGAAATGGGCATGCATGGCAAGGGGATTGGGGTTTACGATTGCGTGGTTTCCTTTTTTTCTTTATTTTTTCTCCTGTTTCTCTCTCTCTCTCTCTTTCTTTGTGTTTTTGCTCTCTCTCATGGTTCTGATTAGACCTGAAGATGAAGCTTAGTCTTGCAAATTGGCTTTTAGGCACATTTCTGCTGTTCTGTGTTTCCTTTACATACTCGCTATTAATGACACTTGTTTTTTTCCGTTGTTTTTGTAAATTCTTTGCTGTGGTACTCTTCTCTTTTTCTTTTTAATGATTTGATTTGAGATATACTTGCTGCGTAGTTGAACTTCTTTTTTTATTTTTTAAATTTTCTAACTTTTTTTCATTTCTCCTGTTTCTTTTGTTCTTGCTCTTTTAAATTATACTCATCAGATACTAGCAGAGAAACCCCTTATAGTTCTATTTCTTTTGTTTTCTTTGCAGATTAAATTAATCAGCGATGTATGTAACGTTACATTAGGGATGCTAAGCTGTAGAATGTTGTGAATGATTTTTTGCTGATATCGGTTGTCTTTAATTTTCATCTATGAAAACTCCGTGATCACGTGACTGGTTCCTTCAGGAGGAAAAAAATAACAAATCGGGTTGGTGAGAAACCAGCGACTTCGCATCCAAGTCAAGCCCCTTGAGATCTTCTGCACATTTTCCCCTACGTGCCCGAATCCAATTCCATTCATCTCCTTTTCTCCTCTCTCTTCTCTTCTTCAAATTCCCGCCTTTTTTTATCTACCAGTACCTCGATACCTAATATTTAATTGTCTCATTGGCCCTCCCGGCGCGTGCCTTTGGATACCGAAAAGCCCTCGGAGCAACACCCCCTATTCCCACCCCCGCACGAATGAGCGAATGCACACACACGCATAGCTAGATATATATACATACATACATAATACATAGACAGAGAGAAAGAGAAGAGAGAGAGAGAGAGAGAGAGAGAGAGAGAGAACGAAAAGGGATACCATGGACCTGCACGAAACTCAGCGTCTGGGTCCTCGAGTA